CATCCTTGCCATGTGTGGTGATTGGCGTAAACGTTTGAAATAATTTTTTCACCTTTTTACTGGTTTCCTTCGTTGCCGTTTTTTCATAAATATTTTGAAAGTGCCCAAAAAAGGAAGTGCACCAACACACCATAAAGAGGTGAGCCGAAGCAAAGAAAATAAAAAATCAACTGCAAGAAATTTCACTTTCACAAAAGGTCTTTGCACGTTTGCGCCCAGGCATGCGGGGTACTAAGACGCCGCATTGTACAGCAATGGCATGCTGACGATTTGGCGATACTTATACATACTAGGTATGTCGATTTTCACGTAAGTAGTTATGTCTGTGCTTTTGTACGAGTTGTCTTTGTGCTGGAATATGAAATTGGCGTGCCGCTCTGGCGTTGGTAGCAGCGCGGTTATATTTCGTGTGGCGTTAGCGGCATTTTGCAAACAAGTGTCTGGTGGCCCGCCAGTCGTTGCGGCCGTCTGCGGACCACCTCACCGCACGGCACCTTACACACCCGCTTCCTGCTTACATGTTAGTCGACTTATTGTCGATGATTTTCGCATGCAATGCTTGATTGCAAATGCTTAGCGCCGTGTGCGCGTATGAATATGTGGTACTGCAACTGCAACTGAATTGGTACCAGCCGTTGGCTGTTAGCCACCACATATTTGTTCAGCTGTTTCGTACAGTTTTCCTACAGTACTTATTTTGGTTTTAATTTGGCTGGTTTCGTGTACCCAAAGGCTATGCAGGTGGTTCAACCGGTAGGCGCGTATTGACTCGGCACAGCGAATACGCTTTCTGCCTTAACGAATAAACGCAAGCAATGCGAATGCGCGACTAACTGGCTGGGTGGAGACATCTGAGCCTCAATATATGCCAAGAGAAGTTTCCGAAAACATTTAAATAGTTTTATAAGCTCAAACCTATGGCAATTACATATGTACGTACAGATTAATTATTTATTTCAATTATAATAAACAGTTTCAATTCTCCTGTATAATCGAATTTTCCGCAATAAATTCTTATCTTCAAAAGTAATAACGTGCTGTTTAAAAACCCCTAAGGAGGATATGTTAAGTTTGATAAAAAGTTTTAAATATCCAGAAAAAAATGTCGGATACCCTACAGAGTTACCCGCGAACAGCTGTATCGCTCTTTGAGATATAGCTATAAAATGTTAAACACGCGTTTTAAAAGGCACGTTAACAAATAGGCGAGCTGGATTACATGCACCTTGCGTACAGCTGCAAAAGAAACCATTGGTTTTCGGAAATTGCAAAAGAACAGCTTGGAAAAGATCAGTGAAAAGAGAATCGACACACACCACCTTTTAGTCTATTTCAAAGCTGAATTTTTTATCCCCGCAAAACTTATACGGCTGTGTAAACTGGCGTGGAGCAATACCAAAAGCTCTGTCAGAATCGGGAAGGACCGCTCCTAATCGTTCGATACCAAATCAGGTTTCAGACAAGGCCACTCCCTATCGTGCGATTCCTTCAATCTGCTGCCGGAGAAAATAATTCGGGCTGCAGAACTTAGTCGAGCATTGAGTACAAATTTTTATAAGTGTGCACCTGCTGACGTATGCCAGTGATATTGATATAATTGGCCTCAACACCCGCGCCGTTAGCTCTGCTTTCTTCAGACTGAATAAGAAAGACGAAATATCTCCTGCCATCAAACAAACAGTCATCACACTACCAACTAGGCTCCCACGTCGCTACTGACAGTCATAACTTCGAAGTTGTAAATCATTTTATCTATCTTGGAACCAGCATTAACAACAACAACAATGTACTTCTACAAGCGAGCTAATGGCAAAAATTTGTAGTATGAAACCATAGTTAAACATATTATATAATGTTTTACGAAATTCCTGTTTTTGGCGCTTCTGGAGAAAACTAAGCTCGTGTAAAAATTAGCGAGCTGTGCACACACCAACTATGGCGCCGAATATCTTGCTACATTAGTACAACAACGGTATATAGCAGCAAAGTGCATGACCGCGAAAGCTGCCCTCATACTCAGAAAATATGGGTCCTTAGGGACTATCGCACACTTTGACTTCAGTCTGAAATACATGGATTACTAGGTCACGGTCTTTTCTCTGCGCACAAACCCTCAAGGAAAGCATGGGAGAAAAAGACCCGCTGAAGCAGAGAGTAAGTGAGCTGTTTCACGTATAGGTCAAGGCTTTCGAGGAGGGTTGGTGGAGGATATTGGTTACTTGCCATCAGCTCCAGTTTTAGGCTTTCTGACCACTAATAGTAGAGCAGTGATATTGGCCTTGAGTGCGCTGCCTGTGCGCTCAAGACTAGTGAAAGGATGTCTAGACTTCTTTTCTTTAGCATCGTTCTTTTACAATTAGACTGGTTTGAGTACGTGGCCACAGCGGAATTTCTGGAAGTTGTAAAGCTTGCTAGGGCAGGTAATTCTATTTCAATAATTACGGAATGAGATTCACTTTTGAACTTTTGGGTTTCGAACCAGCTCAACAAATGTTGGTCAAATGCCAGACACTATGCCGTCGCAAGATCCCTTTGGTCAGATAAATCGCAAGAGGTCTAAGGAAATCTACGCTCTCAGCATGGGTAACCTTTCAATGGTTGTAGGGATTCTAACTTGACATTGTTTGAATTGAATTGAATATCTTTCAATATCTGTTGAGATGAGGTAGAATCATCTCAACACTTCCATCTTGAATATCCCACTTTTACCAGAACAAGATAAAAACACCGCGGATCTCACACTTTTAGACACTCTGCTGAAATAGCGAACATACATATATATATAATATAATAAACTTTAGCAGATTTGTCATAGATTCAAGACACTTTATCGATAGCTAATATCCAATCACAAGAGTTTTTCGTCATAAAGGGCTGGGCACAACAGTCTAAGAGTGATCTTGCCACCTTTCTGAAGGATCAGCCAGCTAATTCAACCAAACCGTTTTGTGTTGGTTGGTGGTTTTAGCTGATTTATAGTATAAAGGTGTTAGCTCCAATTCTATTAAAAAAAAAAAAAATGAAATTGTAATACCCATTTGGGTAACCTAAAATTAGTACGTTTTAGTAGAAAATATCCATGCCGCTTCGCTGCGGTCTTTGTTTCTGTATTTAAAAAGCAAATCGTTTCAAATAAAATCTTCAAAATTGGAAAGGGTCTCACAACGGATTTAATGCACATAATGGAAAAAGACTTCGTTTCATACCTTCCTCATGTTATCATTTATTACGATTCTATCCCTTCAACTGTACGTCAAATATTATATATGAAAGATGATACAGCAAGCTTATATTATATGTGGAGTAATTAATCCCTGTAAATAATAAAGCTCTCCATACAAGAACTTGGTTTTGACCGACTAGTTTGTACGCAACTTATATTTCCACATAGTCCGGTAATGATGGTTTCGACAGATAAGCAGCTTCTTGGAGAGAAAACGTATGTAAAATTTCATATTAATTCTCAAAAACTGTGTGATGTATGTGCACGTCTTTAACCACTGCACCACGGCATTGTTGGTAGACATATGTGAGAGCATGACACATTTTTTCAACATGCATTGCTAGAAAAAAATTAACAGTTTGGTAAATAAAGACCTAAAATATAAAATTGAGATAATCGCATAAATAGTTAAAAATGTTTGGTGTAAACCATATAACGGGTGATCTAAATCGGGTTACTTTTTCCTGCAGCCTTTTTTTTTTTTTTGATTTTGACAGCCTACGCGTGAGTCGTGTCAAGCTATCATATTATTTTTGTTCAGTATTACGCCGTACGCAGCAATTCGGACTGACGTTTGAAACGATTTTGATTACGGCGAAATATTAAATTGAAAGGGTACAAAATACAGCTTTCCCAGCGGCATCGGGTCGCTCTATGGGTTCTTGAAAAGTTCCGTAAAGATCCGACGTTTTCGTGCCAAATCTTGTTCAACGATGAGGCTTTATTTCTTAATGGATATGTAAAGCAAAATTGTCGCATTTGAAATGAATAGCAACGTGAAGAGATTCAACAGCTGTTATTTCACTCAAAAACCAAGGGTTTGGTGTGGTTTGTGGGCCTGTGGAATCAGCGATTCATTTTTCTTCAAAAAATGATGATGGTGAGAATGTAACTGTCAATGGCGACCGTTATCGCGTCATGATTACAGACTGTTTGATGCCTGAAATTGAAGCTCGTGATTTCGGCCACATTTAGTTTCAACAAAACGGCGCCACTACCCCCACACTTCGCATCAATCAATGTATTTATTGAGAGAACACTTCGGTTAACGGATAATTTTACGTTTTGGTTTGGTCGATCGATGTCGCACCGTTAGACTTTTTACTGTAAGAATATGTAAAGTCTAAAGTATATGCGAACAATTCCGCTTCGATTCAGGTTCGCCGAACGAGCCATCGAAAATTGGATTCAATCAATGGACCGTTTGAGAAGTAGCCACCGAAATTTGAAAGAGATAATCTACAAAAAATAAGTGTTCTTTCGAATGATAATAACATTATTAATTAAATTTTAAGTTTCTTTTTTTTTTACTTAAAAAAATAAGGAACCTCGAAATGGATCGCACTATATTTTCATTGGCGTATAACTTAAAATCCCGGTTTACGAGCAGATAGACACGAAACCAAACGCAATCTACTTCACAAAATAATAATTATAAATATTTTTTTTTTAATGCTTGGCTTCCACTGCCAGCGACGTACTGCAGTCAATTCACTGCTTTTCAGTATTGCAGAGCGAAAAATAAATAAGATTCCAACTTCCCATATTTTCAGCCGTTGGATACCCTGACCTCACTTACTAAACATCCAACAACCCATCATCGGCGCGACAAAGCAACTCTGCCCCAACAAATTGGAGCTCATCGAACCCCATGAACGAACATGTTTGAGCTGTGAGTTGGACATCATGCTGCCAGTGTGTAGCCGGGCATTGCCATTCATTGGCTAAGAAGCGATGAACGGCTGGATAATGAAACCAGTTGAGTTGTATTCACGTATCTGAATGGGTACGTGTACGTGTCGCGCACGCATAAATCGAATGTACAACAAACGATTAATGCAAGAAGTTTACTAAATATTGTAAATAAATTTAAGAAACAGGTCACTCAAAACAAGAATTGCAGTACAAATTTAGAGTGCAACGAAAAGCACTGCATTCTCAAGTGATCAATGCCTTAAAATGTATCTTTCGGATTACTAAATAAATGCCAAATTGCAATGCGCGAACTGTTGTGAAGTGAGAAGTGAAGCGAAAAGTAAATACGCGAGTGCGAAAATGGGCACGAAATAAATGTTGTAGTACACAACAACAACAATAGCTATGGTATAAAGTAAAAAAGTAATGAAATATTTGCTGTTTTTCGGTATTTTTGTATAAGTTTTCGTCATGTTAAAAAGTTATGAATACGAAAATCAAATAGCAGGTAGTTTAGTAATGGCAGCAGCACAGCCACAAATGAAGGAAAACAAAAATAAGAAAAGTGTTAAAACCTGTGCTTGTAATAAGAAACTAAAATTTAAAATAAAAATGAACTATACGATATATTGTGTGTGTGTTGCAGGAATTGTGAAAAGTGCAATAAAAAATCCACGTTAATCGGCTAAATATATGCAAAAAAAAAAATTTTTTTTAAATAAATAAATTTTCAAAGTGCAAACGTAGCTAATACGAAAACAAATGAAGAAAAACACACAAAGCAAACAAAAACTGGCTGTTCGCGAAGACAGACAGACAAAAATAATGAGATGTGGCATGCAGCAAGAAGTGGCTCGCCGTTTGACTTGCTGGCTGAATGACTGCATTGCTAACTGGCTGCGTGTGCTGTTAACTTGTTTTTGTTGTTGACTCTGACTCCTGTAGCTGACTTTTGTTGAAGCTAAACCGATAGCCGTTATTATTGTTGTTGCTGCCGCTGACGTTCTTTACTTGAGATTCACATAACTATCAGCAGATACGGTTGTTGTCTGTATTATTGTTTTGTTTGAATTTTTTGTTGTTGTTTCTTTGTTGTTGTCACTGTCATTTATTAGCGTTTCATACATAACCATTCAATAAGGAATTTTATAATCAACTCTGCTAAGATTTTATAATCGGCGCACAAGCTTAGCAGTTGTGTGTGTATAAATTTTTCTATGGCAAGCTAGCCTTGGTATTGTTAAATGTAATAGCAAATAAAATATAAAAAAAATGAAAATTTAGGCACGAGATGATCTCAGCTGAGTCAATGTGTGAGTGTGCGTTCATGTGACGTTTGCCATTATAAACGCCAGAATCTCACAGACTCGTTCGAATGCGTGGAATTCGAATCTGACAGCAAAAAATAATAGTTTTTTGCGCAAAATAATACTTGGAAAAAATATGGTTTAGTGAAAGAATCTCAAAAATAATTATAATTTTTGTTTATATCCACATATATGTACGTACATATATAGATATTTAAGTGCATAAAAGATTTCTGTATGGATACTTCATTGTGATGGAAATACGTATAGAGAAAGAGGTCAAATTAATTTAAAAAAAAAACTGCTTTGAGGTGCTAAAAAGTCGTGCCAACAATATGTGCTGCAATGATTTCGATAAAATCTAGTATATTCACCCGTTTAACACGAAACCTTTATCCAGGAAGATGGGGAAGGACTTCTTAAAGTATACTGCAAATAATACCGATATCAGACCTTTGAAGCAAGACATATCGAACGTGAGACTCTAAAAATAAATACAATAGACAAATCAGAGTTAAATACCTCTCCTCTCACTTGAAATTGAGAGAGTAACTCATCTACTCGACTTTGATAGTTGACTGGATCGGGTAGGTTTGACGTTTAGCAATAGAAATGACGAGAATGGTCACTTTGAAATCGTGCCAAAAATATATATGAGCGGAGAGATTTGATACCGCCAATCAAGAACGAAATTGTTCAAAATTAAAGAAAACGCGTAGCTTTAAGGTATTTGATGAAATATTTTTTGATCTGATGCTTCAGAGTATTAATTTTCAATTCAAAATAATAAAAAATTGCATTAACTGTTAGCGAAAAAGTGAATTTACATTATTTATTATGAAGGAACAAAAATCAGGTGTTCTAACATATCACAAAAGAGATTTAATGAACAATAGCTAATAATTTTCGTGCATAATGTTGGTTTATTTAATTATCCGATATGGCTACAATGTAATGTTAAAAAAACACTAATTTTTAGGTGTTTTCACACTGGATAGAGTTGGGCTTCCCTTTATGGTCTCCTTGAGTCAAATAATCCCTTTTCTAAACCCCTTTCCGAAAGTGTAGTAGGCTAGAGAGTTCGATTGGCTAATAACACCAGAATTCTTCATAGACCTGGTGATAGACAAAACAGTGACCATAATTAAATTGTTATACTACTAAACAATTCTAATCGTTACAACAACAATAAATGTAATAAAATACTTTTATGAAAATGTAAATATTTTAAACTAAACTTCGAGATTACATAAAAATTACAAGCTGGTGACAAACTAATAAGTATAAAATTCAATAATTATATTATAATCGAATAATTGTAAGAACTGTCAACCTGCTGACCAACTTCGAAAACACAGTTGAAAAACGGTACAACCGTACAAAAACAAGAATAAAACGATTACGGTTGCTATGAAAAAATAACGTAAATAAGTACGCAAAGCGTAGAATTGAATAGAGTCGCAGGAATCCAAGTAAAAACATGGAATCATGAAAAATAAACAAAATGTGCACGTGAAAATGTAAACAAAATAAAAAGTAATAAAGTACAGAGTACATAAAAAATTTAGTACAGACCGTTTTTAGCTTTTCACATACAGGTGTGTTGTACCTGCATGGCTAAATATGAGTAAAGCGCTCAGAAGGTAATAAAAAACCGTAACTAAAAGTGAAGTCGAAGCGCGACTCACCCACTTTTTTGATGACGAAGTCAAAAATAAATAATGAAACAGCCGTAGTAAATGAGCGCGCGAAAAAGGAAAAAGCAGCTTAAACGACGCACTAAACTTAGAATTCTTATCGCTTTTGTATGATTTTACGTTGCGCTTAACTTTATCTATTAGCACTTTAATTACGGCGCTTTATCTCAAAGTCGGTAAATTTTATTATTTTTTTTTTTCAGTAGATAAATGTACATCTTTTCATTATTATCATTGTTTTTTGTTTACTTGCTATGACCTCAATGCGTTTTACGCCAATTGAACGCACTTTACGCCTACTTGCGTTGAGCATAAGACCGCGCGTAAGAAGCGTAATTGGCGAGTGACAGAAACGTTAATAAATACCTCTACAAAAGCGGTAAGACTGTGAAGTAATGTTGAGCAAGTAATGATTCAGTACGTGCTTATGTATCTGTATATATATTCGTATATATATTTACATATTGTCTAGACTAATTTTTCACACATTTTAACAATTAACACACATATGTACTTATATGAAATTTCGTGTACGAAAGTATATATGTACATACATACATATGTAGCTGCATATTTACAAAATTATATGGTACATGCCGCAATGAGTGTTTTTAATGTGTTCATTACTTCACAAGTGTCACGTGTACGAGCAGCTGTCAAATCGAGCTGTCAAAAATGTAACATGATTCAGTTGCTCGAGTACAGTTAATGTACCCCTAAGAAATTTAACATTAACCTGTATAAAACAATATCATTGAATTTGTACTTTGAAGATAAAGTCATTATTTAATTGGTTGGCTTATGAGAAGGTCAAATAATGACCAGATCAGTGGCAATGAGACAACAACAAAAATTATAAGAAAAGTATTTATATTTTTTGTTTTGGATCATAAAGATATACGTGTTCATTGGAAATGCCAGCTGTGAAATATTTTGTACTTGTACTTTTCGTCTGTCATACCCTAAACACATAGTCTATAGCGGTGTTTACATCATGATTATGATTAAAAGTATTAGTATGATTAACAGTATTGAGGAAAATCTACTATAAGAGGGTTAAATTAGCTGCATATAAATAAAAAAACTCATATCTGGTTTGGGAGTATAATATTTGTTGCTAGTTTAAAAAGCGTTTTCATTTACTTTACTTATGTACAGTCATAGATTAAGTGTTGTTGTTATTGAAGCGTCAAAAAACATTCCTGACATAATTTTGAAGAATGCTGCCGAGTTAACAGATCTTGTTCAGATAAAAATCCGGTTCCGTCCCTGTTACACACCGATTGTCGTAAGAATGGGTAATTAAACAATTAACACTCAGTCCAAATACCATTTTTATGCTATTTTTAAAGTATCCGATCGCCAAAGGCGAACTTCCAGAACATATTTTATGGTTGAACGTTTGCTTAACTTGGTGAGGTTGATTTCCTCCAGATTGATTGAAAACGGCTAAAGATAGACCAAATATTTTTGCTTTTTAGGTCCAATAAGTGGAAGATCAGTTATGTCAAAGCCATCCTAAACTAAACGGAGAGTAATTGAGTGAATATCGAGCTAGAATTCTACAAAAAATTTCAAACTTTTCGTGTCTGAATTTTAAGACAAAAGCAGCCAAAAAATGCTTCGCGATGAAAATAATTTGGCATATGAAGATGAAACGGGAACTTTACAATCTAGGAGAAAAATGTATCAATTCGGTTTGAAATTAAAATTATATCAGGAATGCAAAAGGATCAGATATATTATATAAGAAATTTTATGAATGTCCCCTGTTCAAAAATTTAAAATGATAGATATTGTATGGATAACATTATTAAAGAAGTTTCAAGAGATTTCAAAAAGCCAATGCTATATTTTGAAGTAAGTTACCAGTTGTTTAAACATTTATATTCCATAAAAATATATGCATTAAGTCATGAATGATATTTCGCTATCCGTACAGTGGAGTATATGAGCAGGATTACTCCTTAAAGGACCGTCTTAAAGAAGGACATAGGAAAAAATACATGTTAACTTAGAATTTGAACGAAGGAAATAAAACTAAAAATTAGATTTTTGGCAGACATTTTTACAAAAAATTTCAATTTTTTTTTTTTTTTCAAATATTTTATGTCTAAAAAAACTTTTTTACAAGTCTTAAAGAATGGTATCTCTAAGACCTGTAATAAATATCATGAATATCGGTTGAGTAGTTGTCGATAAATCTTGCCGACCGACCTCAAATACATAGTTTCGAGAAAAACGCGCTAAAAAAATTTTAGTGACA